TTGTCTTTCTGTTTCCGTTCAGAAGCGTCTCTGGACAGTGGAAGCTCTATGAGAAAAAACAGAAGCCAACCAGAAACGGCAACGAAAGGGCTCGGGAATGGGAGCCGGAGCCGCAACTTACCAGTTTGAAACATATCCCTATCCCTATGTTTGACATCACCTCACCTCGATGCCGATCTTGAGGATCCCTTCAGTTTCTGAGGGCCCATCCCTGAGATTGTCCTCGCTTTTTGCTCGCCCACCTTAGGGATAGGGAGGAGTTCGAGGCTGGTCAGCAGCCGGCAGGCACACACGGGGGACGGAGCCGGAAGAGACGGAGCGGCGTCGGAGCCGGCCGTAAGAGCGGCAGAGCGCAACGGGCAGGAGGGGCGGGCGGCTGCCGTCGCCTCCGGGTGCGATGGGGCCGCCGGGCTGCCGTCGCCGCCGCGGGGGGAGCCGACCCGAGAGGGCCGAGGCTGCCGAGGCTGCCGAGGGAGGGCGCGCGTGGGGCGAAGCCCTGCGAGGCGGGCAGGTCCCCCTCCGCAGGAGGAGTAGCCCAGAGGAGCCAGCAAGAAGAATCGGTCAGGGGGCGAGTTTTCGTGCTCTGCTCACCATCTGTGGCGCTGCGGATGATTTGCCGAGTTCTCCTTCAAGGTCCCCCTGTGGGAGGAAGTGCCCGACCCTGAGGCGAGCCCGCGGGGAGGGCGCGGCCCTGGCCTCCTCTCCGCGCGCGCCCTGCGCGCCCGCGGCGCCCTGGTCTGCGCCGTTGCGGGGCGAGGCCCGGCCCCCCTCGCGCCCGGGTCGGCTGCACGTAGGAGTGACCCTTCTCGCCAGAGTGGCCTCTGGTGCGGGCTCCTCGGGCTCCCCCCGATGGCCGAGCACGATGCGATAGGAGTGGGCCACGCACTCGGGTGTGGCTCCCTCACGCCCTCCAAAGCTGCGCACCAGAGGTCGCTCTTACCCAGGGTCGCTCTTACGGCTAGCCGACCGTGACAGAAAGAAGCCACGGCGGAAGGCTGTGTTGCGCCGCTGCCGGCCTCTTTTGGAGCCCTTGCCGGGCCTCGGGGCGGTCCCAGAAAACGGCTCAGGATGAGTCAGCCATGCGCAGAGGGTGGTGGGGGGAGGGGGGGGTGGGCTTGTTAGAAGCAACCCTGCTTTTGTTTTTTCGTTCAGAATCTGCCTGTAGGAGGACATGCCTGACCTAACACAAAAGTCATGGCGGAAGGCTGTTTTGCGCCGTGGCCGGTCTCTTGGGGCCCTTGCTGGGCCTCGGGGCGGTCACAGAAAACGGCCCTTGCAGGATGAGGCATCCGCCCCAGGGAATGGGTCGAAGCCTCTGGGGGTCGTTTTGTTATTCGCTCTTTTGCCGATCGGCGCAGGCCCTCGCACCCCCCCTCCCTCCCCCCGGAGCAGATTTTGGCTGTTTTTGGCGCCTGTTTAGAGCAGGTGGAGCCTCCCCCATGATGGACGCACTGCTGCAAACAGTCGCACTAAGCAGAGGTCCGGAGCCAGGCCCCGTCCCTCCACCCCCCCTTCCTCCCAATGTCGAGACGCCGAGTGAAAAAAAACGCTCACCTGGGCGTCCGACGTTCTGGCGGAGTCTTGGCGTCGGGGGTCTGGGGATGGCGAGGTCTCTTGCGTTGGGGGGGCCGCACGTCCATCAGAGCCCCGAGTCATCAGGGGTAATTCGGGTGAGGGCTATCTCGGGTTCGTTTTCTGGGAATCCGAACCCGAGTTGCCCCGGACCCGAGTTACCCCGGATAATTCGGGCGTCCAGAGCCCCAAATCATCAGAGGCATTTCGGGCCAGGGCTAACCCGGGTCCGTTTTTGTCGGGAATCCAAACCCGAGTTACCCCGGACCCGAGTTACCCCAGATAACTCGGGCGCCCAAGTTCAGCAGCGCAGCGCGCTGCGCAGCTTTCACACACGCTCCGGACGGGTCCTGCACAGGGGGCGGTCGATTTGGGGCCCCCAAGAACGGGGTGGTGACCACCACGGTGTGGTGGGTCGGTGGGGATGCAGGGTCGCCGCACGGCTGTGGGACTCGGGTCCTTCTCCGAGGACTTACCAGCCTGGAGCATATCCCTATCCCTATGCTGGGCATCTTCTCATCACGATGCCAATCTGAGGGATTCCCTTACCTTTTGAGGGCGCATCCCTAAGATTGTCGTCGCTTTTTGGCATGTCAATCATAGGGATAGGGATCCGTTCGAGGCTGGTAAAGAACGTCTCGGGCGACTGGGGCATCCGAGGCCTCAGCACCGCGCGTTGATGGACCGTGCGGTGAGGTCTTGGGGGGACTTCGAGGTCCCCGCACGGTCTGTCGCTGCACCGTTTCGGGACTCCAAAGTCGCGCGCCTCGGGGTGGAGCGCGCACGCGCTGTCTTCCGCCGGCAAAACAAACCAAAGACCGGCGAAGACCACTTCGCGTGGCGTTTTCGCGTCTGTCAGTGGGCGAAGAACGGCAGAACATAAACTCGTCCGCCGTCGGGAACGCCTGCCCCTCGGGCGGCTGGAAAGTGTATACCCCACGAGGCGTTTCCGCCTCTCTCTGCCACGCGCGGAGGGGGGTAGGGGGAGGGGTGAAGGTCCCTTAGAAGCACCCCTGCTGATTAGAAGGCGCGGGCCTTCTTTACGGATGTAAGACAGGCGCCTTCTGAGCAGGAGCTTCCTTCTGAGAAGCCTTCCCCCCTCCCGGGATCCCCCTGCCCCCCGCTATATAGCGCCGCCAGCTCTTGGCGGCCGGGGGGGGGGCAGACGACCGGGGCGACGTCGGCCGACCGCCTCACCGAGCCCGGCGGGGCCCCTCTCCCAGAGGGGCCCAGGAGGGGCCCCCGCGCACGCCTCCTGGGCGTGCCCTGACCGGGGCGCCCGCCCAGCGGGGCACGCAGAGACGGCCGTCGGGCGTCGCGTCATGGGGGGCGATGGTCCTGACCTGCCAGGAGGGCCAGCAGAGAGCACCAGGACGTGGACTCCCTGATTTCTGTCGAGGCTTGAGGCAGTCCAGATCGGTTTACAGGTCTGGAGTGTTATTTTTAGGGCGCTGGGAGGTCAGGGAACGGGAGAGGCAGCGAGCGCTGCAGAACAGGGGCCCTACGGGGCCCTCTCTAGGGCCCGGCAGGAGGCCCCCTGGGCCCAAAAACAGAGTGCACTCGTGAACTCCCCCCCCCCCCCCCCCATGGGTCGCCCTTGGGCCATGAGGGTCCGGACCGCCCGCCCTCTCCAGCGGGTGCGGGGGGGTTGGCGGCGGCGGCGCGGGCGCGCGGAGCATCGCCGCGGCTCGCGGGGGCTTCGGGGCACGGCGTGCCCGAAGGGAGCCGGGCGAGGCGTGGCGAGAGGGCCGGCCGAGCTGGTGGAGGGGGGCGGCGGCCCGTCGCCCCGGAGGCATTTTGTCGGGCTGCTTTTCGGGGCGTGGTGGAGCTGGTCCCAGACATGATCGCGTCGTAAAGCAAAAATCTGTACGGGAGGGTTTTGTCGAGTTTCGGCCTCGGGGGGCCCTCGCTGGGCCTCGGGAGCGTCAACAGAACGACTCGGGACGAAAAGCCAGTCCCGGGGAAAGGGTCGGGACTTCCGGGGGTTCCGTATTGAAAAAAGCAGGGCGTCGAATATGCGGGGCGTGGTGGAGCTGTTCGTTACCGTCCTGCTAATTACTGCGGTCGGTGCGCGCTGGTGTCAGCGTGCGCTGGTGGCGCTTTTTTGGAATGTCGTCGCGGCCAGCCCACATTCGTGATATGGCCCTGGCTGGCCTGGGTCCGCTGACCCGTAACGCGTCCCGGAATGAGAGGTTGGACCCTGGCCTCCCAGAGTGGAAAAGCAAGTGTGGCAAAATGTTGTAAAACACATGCGATAACATACTCATGCTTTTCATCACACTCGTTTTTGTTATCACGCATTTCTTTTTTGTTTCACACATGTTCTGGACCCTGGCGTCGCCGATGCATCGCCGATGCAGCGCGGTCTTCGGGTCCCGTCGCTTCCGACCCCGCTTGGGCGGCCTGCGTGGGAGGACGCGGAGGATGCGAAGCAGTAGGACGGGAGAAGGGGGGTAGCGGGGCAGCTGGGCAGCTCTAAGAGCCACGGTGGACCGAATAAGTCGTAGCGTTGCAGGCTGACTACCTCGCCATCTTACTCGATTTCAGCTGTGGTGGCATCCTTCTTGTCATCTGTCCTGTCCGTGATTTGTGCCCCCATCATCCCTCGACGACCGTGTCGCGTTTTCTGCGTAGTCGAGTTGATTAAGTATGCAGTGTTGCGATATGCGGGGGTAGTCAGCAGCCTGGTGTCTGTGTCAACAATAGCGCCCCACCCCCAATTAGCAAATTATGGCGTGCATAACAGACATGGGGAAAGACAACCACTTAGCGCAGATAATGCGCACGGGGTGATGTAAGGGTCGAGGTCGAAATTTGCATGATTTCACTGGGCATGGCACGATTTGCGTGGTATCTTGTATGCGCCATTATCGGGGTCAGTGTTGCTTGCTGCAATTAGCTGATGGTCGCCAATCAGTTGGTAGCCTTACTGACGTTATTACATCCGGCCCTGCCCCTGGAACCCGAACGCGGCCACCAGACCGACAGCTGCTGGACACCTCCGCCCCGCGTTCTGCCACGATGGCTGACGGCACGGAGGACGGTGCCGACCGACGACGCCGACCTGCGGCGACGATGACGACGGCGGCGGGCGGCGGCGACGACGACGACCGCGGCGACGGACGCACGGCGAGTGCGGCACCGTGGCGACGACGGGCGCCCGCGGGCGGCGGCGGCGGACGACGACCTGGCGAGAGGACGGCCAGCAGCCGCCCGCGCCGGCGCCGCCGGCCGCCGCCGTCGGCGCGCGGCCCGGGCTCTCGGCCTCGCAGGCGCGCGCGGCGGATTCGCCGCCGCCGCCGCCGCTGGCCTGGCCTCCGACGCTGCCGCCGCCGTCCGTCGTCGCCGCCGCCGCCGCCGTCGCCGCCGCCGCCTGCCGGGTCGCCGCCGTGGCCCGCCGTCCCGTCTCGCACGGCTCGCTCCCGCCGGGCGCCCATCGCCAGGGGGGCTCTTCTCGCCCGCGCGCGGGAAGGCCCCCCCGCCCTCGGGGGGTGGCGGCGGAGGGGGCGGCGGAAGCAAGCCGGGGGCGGCCCCGCGGGTGGAAGGCGGCGGAAGCAAGAGCTGCGCCCCCGGACCCCCTCGAGTCATGAAATAATCACGGCGGGCGGTTGCTTGCTATTCTGGGCCTCTGGGGACCCTTACCGGGCCTCGGAGAGCCCCAATGTCGAAGAGGAACCGCCGTCGATCATCACAGTCGCCACACATGTTCCACGTTCTGGCCATCTGGGCTTGCATGGAAATTCCCGGCGAGAACCCCATCTCGAGAAGGAGCTCCCCACATCCCCATTCCCGTAACAGCTGCAAGCGTGTAAGACTGCGCTGAGCTGCGGCGAGGGCCACATCCGCGCAATTGCCGCAAGTTTTCAGCTGCAGGATCACACATGGCGAGGAAGTCTCGGGCGAAGCGCCCGTCTCGCCCTACTGACACCCCGGGGGGGTGCGACGGAGCGGAGCTCCTCATGAGGAGAAGGGCGGAGTAAGAGGAGGAGGGGATAAGGGGGAAGAGGGGGATGAGGGTTGGAGGGCGAGGAGGTGAACGAGGAGATGGAGGCGAAGGAGGAGGAGGATGAGGAGGAGGAGGCGCACACTCCCCTAAAGCCCCCTGAAGCAATTTGCAGCCGTCTCATCGTCCTTCCTCCTCGTCGCCGTCCTCCTCGTCCTGCCTCCTCGTCGCCGTCCTCCTCGCGATCGAAGAGGAGGGGAAGGGGCCCACACCTCTTGGGCGGCGCCATTGAGAAAATCGTATCGTCGGATGCTTGGGGCTAGGGGGCGGTCTCGAGGTCAGCCTTCCGAGAATGCAAGGGGAGCCCCATTGACTGGGGGCGACCCCTCTCGACGGCCCCGTGCATCTGCCCCCATCACGCCTTCCGAAAGAGGGGTGGGGCCTGCTCAGGTGGCCGTTCCTTTCCACACCCGCCCCCCCCTGGCTCGCTGCCAGGCCCTATCCTCTCCCTCCTGGTCAAGGCGACAGGGCGTCCTGCCACAGCTGCCCTCTGCGTCGCTCCCCCTTGCGGAGCAGACCCCCCCCCTGGCCGGCGCGATGGCGCAGTACGGCAAGGCGGAGTATTGGGAGGAGCGCTATACGCGGGACCCCGAGCCCTTCGACTGGTACCAGCGCTGGGCGGGCCTGAAGGAGACCTCTGTCGGGTGCCAGAGTTGTTCGGTAGGAGATGATGGAAGCCGTGTGTGTCCTCGCACTTCCGTCTTTAGAGTGCATGGGCGTGCGCTGGCGTCTCGTAGTCGAGGAGACGCAGGTTAAGCGTCGATTTAGCGTCGACCATCGTCGATTAGCTTCGATCTAGCGTCGATGAGCACCGACTCGCACGAGCCATCAATATTGTAAAGGCAGCTCCCATGAGTTGCCGCAGGATTTGCTCGGTGCCGCATTCGACGGGTGCGTGGCTTGATGGTCAGGGTGAGGGGGGCAAACGGTCTTACGGAGTCCCTGGGTGCGGGATTCCGCGGTGCGGATTGTTGTTGCATTCGTTTTCAAAAGTACGTATTGTTGTTTCCCTCTTCCCGTGCATTGCAATCTTCAAATGAAGTGCCCTTCCCTGGGTTCGCACCTTCTTTTCTACAAGCCCTCAGTTTACCACATAAACGGCCTCCTCTTGGCACTTCTTAACAGCCCATTGAGAAATCGGGCTTTGGCGACAGCTGTCGTCGCAATTTCTTTACGGATCGAAATCTCGCTGGAGTCCTCTTCACAACTCATGCCTTACTCATTCTCTCGGCGCTCTGGAGTCGCTCTCCCGCTCGGGAACGCTCCCCTATTTACTCAGGAGCCGCACTCTCGCCGGCGACTTCCCTCTCACACCCCTCTCGCTAATGCCTCTCGTCCTCCATCGTCTCCCCCCCTCCCTCCCTCCCTCCCTCCACGAGCTCCACCAGAGGCCCCAGTGGCAGGGTTCGCATGGCGTCCGTGCCTCGTCTCGGCACGCCACTCAAACGCTCGTGGCCACACAGGGAGCTCCATAGAAAGCTGTACTCATATTGCGGTACCCACAAGTGCACGTGGTTGGACCCCTCTCCAGGATGCTCTGGATCTGCGAGCTTGTCCTCAGCTGTGCTTGCCTGCGCATTTCTGGGTAAGTCCCCCAGGACACGCTCCTGGAGTACGTGCAGCCCAGCAGCAGCATCCTGATGCTCGGCGCCGGGAACTCGCGCCTCAGCGAGGAGATGTACGAAGAGGGTCATCGCCTTAGTGGGGTGGTGGACGGGAGGGACTGGATGGGCCCTGAGAGCTTGGCGGTGCATGTTTTTCACACCGAGCGTTTCCGTCCGGTGTCATGCCCTGGCACCTTCACGGATCGATCGGGCTCGAAAGATGCGGCAGAAGATTCGGTTTGGAGTTCTGCCGTTCTGTGTTGTGTTGTTCGATTGTTTTGCAACGTCCGATCTTGGTGGGTTGGATGGTGCAGGAGTGACGGCAGGGGATTGAGGGGATGGGGGAGGGGGGGCCGCGCTTGCTCCGTCCCGTGTCATCCTGCGTCCCCGTGGTGGCATGAACCATTGTTTTACCTCCACATCTCGGTTCTGCTGGTGCTTCTCCTCCCACTCTTTCATCCAAGTGGGGCCAGCGGACCTTTCCGCAGACGCGCGTCTTGTCGTATCGAAGCCCTGTACTCACTCAGGGGAGCTCTTCCTCGTATTCCTTCCCCCAGTGTCATAGTGGGGGCATCTGGGAGGACGTGTAGTAGATAGTGTGTTCGAGCGTAGCAGTCGCGCACGGTGCAGGCGCCTTGAAGCTGATATAATTGGGGCACAAAGCAGGTGGGGCACCAGGCATGCATCATCACTTGTGTAGCTAGTGGTAGTTGCCGGGAGGCAGAGGGAAGAGAATGATGGAAGGGCAGCCAACAAGGCTTCCAAAACATCACGAACATCGACATCTCCAGCGTGGTGGTGAAGGCGATGCAGGACAAGTACCGCGACAAGCCGGGCATGACCTACGTCCAGATGGACGGCCGAGCGATGGAGTTGCCCGACCAGAATTTTAACGTGGTTGTCGACAAGGCGAATTCTGTCGCCCTTCTTGGGGACCTTCCTTACAGAACTAGTCGAGTCGATACTGGCCTCTGTTCCACGACTCAGCGGCTCCTTGTGGTGCATCGTGGCGCCCTCGCTCATCTCCCCCCGTCGTCCTCCTAACAGCCTCGCATTCGCCCTCCCCTCCATCGCGCTGCGCACATCCCAGGAGATTGCTCGTTCGCGGCGACCACGCGCGCGCGCGTGCGGTCGAGATGCTTTTCGGTGCCGCTAAGCGCCCCTACGTGTCGTTGAGGTGTCTCTACGTTATCGGCCGCAAGTGCCGCTAAGTCTTGCCTTATTGGTTGGTCGAAGGTTCCCAGGAAGGGTCACATAAGGCGACTCTGGACTCGATCCTGTGCGGGGAGGGATCCACCCACAATGCTCAGAAGCTGCTCCAGGAGGTGTCGCGGGTGCTGCAGGCTAACGGCGTCTACGTCGCCGTGTCGCACGGACAGCCGTCTTACCGCCTCACGTACCTGCAGCGGCCTGAGTTCGGTTGGAACGTGAAGATCTACACCGTGCAGAAGCCGATGATGGGCATGACGGCGTCGTTGTCGTCCGACGACAAGGACGGCATAAGACATGACTCCCCCGCAGCTCACCTTAATGCTAGCAGAGGTGAAGAAGACGGGGAGAGGAGCGGGAGAAGCACGGCCGGGAAGCCTCGAGGGAGGAGGGATGCCGCGAGGACAGGAGTGAGAGCACGGCCAGGTGCACCTTAGGGTATTTCTTACAAGGGGTCCTCGGCGGCCGGACCAAGCATGTACCCTGCATTTGCGAGAGGACAGTTTCCTGATTCCTTGTGAGGAGGTCTGATTTGACGATGCCGTCCGACGATAAGGATCGAGTAACAACACACATGCATATCGCATGCTAGTTAGCGTGGACCGCTACGTTGGGCAATCTCTAGCCGTCTACGTTTGGCGATTTCTACCGGGCAGAAAATGTGGTGCCGCCTATGTTGTGCAAGATGTGTAGTGCAATACTCTGGATTCCTTATTGGACCCCCCTTAAAAGCTGGACCCCCCCTTCGACGCGATTTATTTCTCCGGGCCCCCTCTCGCAGTGGGCGCCTTGATATTCCAGACCCCCCCCTACACAAGTACACCCAAAGTGTAAAGACGGTTGGGTGTCTAATGGCAGGGAGTTTGACGAAATGACAACAAACGGCGATGGCAATGAAGGTTCACCCCTGATGTCGGCGACAGTGACGACGTTCATGCTGCATCTTGCGATATTGTTGCCGTGCGTGAGCGCCCCAAACTTGCATACTGTATTACGCGCGTTCCCTCACTTGCCCTTCAAGCCCACTTACAAGACCGTTTTCTTTGTGCGGAAAGCTGTACCTTTAGGTAACGGTGATGGCGGTGATGGAACAAAGAACAGGGCATCGTTGGCAACGGCGATGACAACGACAATCGCAGTGATGGTGACGATGGCGGTGGCAGCGAAGGCAATCATAATGGCGATGCTGATGGAACTGGTAGTCATGACGATGACGACGATGACCGTGATTCCGATGGTAAGGATGGTGATAGTGATGATACTGATAACGGTGATATTGAAGATGCTCCGCAGGCTGGTGGTAACGAGCAAAAGCCTCGAGAATATCGCGCTCGTCGACGTTAACGCGCATCCGCAAAAGTAACTCTAATGATGTGGACCCCCATGAACGTCGGTTTCAAAGGAACTCCCTAATAAAATGGACCCCCCTGCGTTCCCAAGAGGTGCTTTGAGAAACCGGACCCAGGGTACTATTAGTAAGGGATAAAGGGGTCCAGAGCATATGTGTTGCAATCGATGCTGCGCAATCTGTGTAATTCAACAGATGTGGTGCAAGATGTCTCGTGCAATATGCATAGATGTGTATATATATATATATATATATATATATATAGCAGAAGCTCTCTGGTCAGCGATCAAAGAGCGCGCCGCAGGCGCGAAACGAAAGACAACGTGCACTATATGTTCTGCAATCGATGTGTTATCATCGCGACTTGGTGGTGCAATCGTTGTGGTGCGTCCTATGCGGTACTATATGTTTGATGCATTTTGTGTTGTGCATTATACGTTGTGCACTCTATGTGGTTGAGCAGTCTAAGTTGGGCACAATATGTGGTGCGATCTATGTTGTGGAACATATATGGTGCAACGCGTGTGGCCGTGCACTGTATAGGTTGCGCAATCTATGTGGTGCAACCTATGTTGCACAAGTCATTAGTGGAGCTCGCACTTGACAAGTTGCTGGGGCAATCATCCCACCTACCCACCCGCAACTTGGTTTGCAAAGCGCACGCGGCGGCCATAGCAAATATTGCTTGGTGTTGCCTGGTGCATCTTTGCGGCCGCGCTGCCCGGCGCATGCGTGCACGCGCAGCGGCCAGCTAGTTTGGCGCGACCGACGCGGCCGCGGTGACGCTGACCTATTGGCTCTTCCCAGCGGGCATTTCAGTGCGAGTCGGCGACTTGGGCGGGCGCGACATATGGCAACGCCGACAACTGTAAACACGAAAACGATCGTAACGATGTTGGTGACGATGTTGGCAGCGACGACGGCACGGCCAATGACGGCGCCGATGCTGATCACGCCGGCGACGATGACGCCGTCCTCGCGTCGGCAACGGAGGTTTTGGCAGGAGTTCGACATGCGCGGGCGGCCGACGCGAGAAAGTGGCCCGTACGGTATTCTTTGACACGGGTTTCCCGCCAGCACGCGCGCAAGGGCGTTCGACTGATTTCGACACGCGCGCGCGAGAGTCCCGTTTTGGCAGAACTCACAGAACCTGTTGAAAACATGACCCATGGTCTCCCAAGGATTCGCGCGGGGGCGGGCGCAGGCTTTCTTGATAACGGATGCTGCGAGACCATATGTGATTCACATGTGTTCGAGGTATTCGGTTTTGCAAGCCGTACGAAGCCACAGATTTTTGAAGGATCCCAGCAGGCGCGCACGACGATTCGCGCGTGCGCACATCGTCCGGCGTTTTGCAAAGGATTCTTTGCGACAGCACGCGCGCAAAGGCGTTCGAACGATTTCGACGCGCGCGCGAGAGGCTCAGCCGGTAGCGGTTGACACGGATCGTGCTACCCCACAGCACGCGCGCAAGGTCGTCCGAATGATTTCGACACGCGCGCCCGCGAGGGGCCCGTCTGGCATACTGAAGCGAAAATGTGACAAACAAGTGTAGTTATCTTCGAAATCGGCAAGAGCGCGAGCGCAAACTTTGTATTCACATTCTTGTTGCGGAACATTTGCTTCTCAGTTTTAGGGACATTCGGTTCTGAAATCTCTACGGACCTCAGGTTGTTCGAAAGTTCCCGGCGTGCGCGCGCGATGACGCGCGCGTACGTATTTCGTCAAATCTGTTGCAAGGGGATTTTTGAAACCGATGAGTTTTGATAAACGACTGCGCGCGCATAGTTGTTCTGTTGCAGAGGATGAAGGGGGGAACTGTCACCGGCCTGCCTGGGATGATACGAATTCGCATTTCGGATGGACGATTGGGCAGAATCGCATGGAAATTGCAATACGAAAAAAAAAAACGGTTCAATTTGGGGGGGTGCGGGTGGGGAGTAGATCTTAAAATTCATTTTAAAAAGAAGGATTGTATATGTGGTGCCATCTAAGTTGCGACTGTAACAGCGCGCTGCAGGCGCCCATGTTTTATAGAGCGATCTACGTGGCGCAGTTCACTTGTGGGATTCGCAGTTGTCAACTCCATTGCTCGCGCAATCTTCCCACGCAAACGCATGCAGCGACGATTGCGATGACTATTTGGTGTTGTCTGGTGCATTTCTGCGGCCGCGCTTGCCCGCGCGCGCGCGCAGCGGGCAGCTAGTTTGGCTCGGCCGACGCGGCCGAAGTGGCGCTGACCTCTGTGCACCTCCCAGCGGGCATTTCGGTGCGAGTCGGCGACTTTGGCGGGCGCGGTATCATGGCAACGTCGACATCGGTAGACACGACGGCGATCGTAACGATGCTGGCGACGGTGTTGGCAACGACGACGGCACGGCCAATGACGGCGCCGATGCAGGTCGCGCCGACGACGATGACCGCGTCGCGACGTGGGTGATGAAGGTCTTGGACGGAGTTCAACATGCGCGGGCGACCGACCCGCGAAAATGGCCCACATGGTATTTGTTTTGTGACCCGGATCGCGCCCCCCCTCCCCCCAGCACGCGCGCGACATGCGCGCGCCACCCAGTGGAATACTGTAAAGACATGTTGAAGCGAAGTGCGGTTCCCCAAAGTTTCGCAAGAGCTCGAGCGCGGCTATTTGTACAAAGCCAGTTTTGCGAAACCATATGTGTTCCCATGTGTTCGGGATATTCGGTTTAGAGATCCATACGAAGCCTGATGCACGCGCATGCGCGCGCGACTACGCGCGCATGCTCCTTGTCGCCCGATGTGTGTCAAGGGTTTCTGGCGACAACGCGCGCGCAAGGGCGTTTGAATGATTTCGACGCGCGCGCGAAGCCCGTTTGGTAGCACGTTCGAGAAATAGTGAGAAATTCTGCGGTTCCCGCAGAAGTTCGCGAAAACACTCGCGCAACTTTGTGTTAATAGCTTTTATTTGCGAGCCATTTGTTCCGGGGCATTCGATTTTGATACGAAGCCGGAGGTAATGGAGGAATTCTGGCATGCGCGCGCGACGTGCGCGTGTTCGTCCCATTGGTGCAGAATACACGAGAGCGCGCACATAATGAGTTCGCGCGCCCATGCTGATTTTTTATGCACGATTGCGCGCGCGTAATTTTTGTGCGAAAGATGACAAAGGAGGGAAGTGTTACCGGCTTGCCTGGGATTCTACGAGTTCGCACTAAGGATGGACGATGCGGCATAATCGCATGCAAGTTGCAATACGAAGACGGGGCGGTTCATTCTGGGGGGGTAGATCCGAATATCTTAAATCGATTTTGAGAGAGCCCAGCGGCGGCGACCAGTCGGCGACAGGATCGCGCCATAGCGGCGATGGCTGTCACGGAACCGCCAGATTGGCACAGAGGCTTAGGTCTGCAGACCAGAAGCACAAGGCCTAAGATGCAGGCGCGGTTTGGGGTAAGTCTTTGGAAGGTTCGCGCGGATTGCTCGGATCTGCGGTGGACCTCACAGCCCACCGAAACATCCCAACCCAACCCGGAGGCCCCGTACCCCCCCCCAGCCCGAAATTCGGGTCTTCGGGTTGGGTTTGGGTGGTCTGGTAGGCAGTCGGGACCCCTGGCGGCGCTGCCGGCACCGCCCCTGACGCGCTCCGCGCGCCGGGGAGGGGGGTCCAGCGAGGATCCGAGAAATCCATGAGGAGCTCCAAGAGCCGACGTTTATGGTTTTTGCATGTGTTCTGAAGGACAACGTCCACTACGTCTACGTCTGTGTCAAGGGCGAGCCGGCGCCCAAGGGCGACGGGCAGTGAGCGGCCGTCCGCACGCCCCGCGCCGATCCTATTCTGAGCTCGTCGGCGAGGGGCTCCAGAGGGCCGGTCAGGTCAGAGGGGATTGGTCAGTGCCCAGGGTCGGCGGCGAGCCCATGGAGGAACTGAGAGGTGGCAGGCCTTCCGCTTCTGAGGAGCCTTGAAGGGCCTTTCCCCGAACCGCGGGCGGCTTCTTCGCAGGCGCGAGGGCTCGTGAGAAGTCCCGCTGCCTTCTGAGAAGTCCTGCCGCCTCTCGCCTTCCCCCCCTGGGCTCGCCGCCAGCAGCGAGGCAGGCTCGGGCGTGCCGTCCAGACGCTGAGATATGAGGACCGCCTCGGGCTCGGGAGGGGCTCGGGCGGTCGGGCCGCGCCCTGCACCCATGTCGGGGAGCCTGTCCGAAGCCGAGGCCCGCCGTGGCCTGAGGAGCCCTGTCGTTGCCTGTTGAGCCTTCATTCCTGTAGCCTGGTGCTTGTCTACTTGTTCGTTCGACATCGGGCATTTTTGTTTCTATGGTTCCATCGGGGGGTTCTTTCCAAAGGCATCCGACGACATGATTGTTGCAATGCCGGTCCCCAGATGTCCGCCGTGGCCTGAGGAGCCCTGTCGTTGCCTGTTGAGCCTTCATTCCTGTAGCCTGGTGCTTGTCTACTTGTTCGTTCGACATCGGGCATTTCTGTTCTATGGTTCCATCGGGGGGTTCTTTCCAAATGCATCCGACGACATGATTGTTGCAATGCGCGTCCCCAGAGGTCCCAGCCCCTTCCCTGGGGCAATGTTTTCGCCCTGGATCGGTTGTTGATGGCTGGGTCCCGAGTCCCGCAAGTCAAAATCTAGGAAAACTATCAGCTTGGAAGTTGCGAGTGGCGGTGCGGCGCCATGCGAACACCGCCACTGGGGACATTCTCTCTGCATTGGGCCACCGTGCGCGTGAACGGTGTGCCGCATTGGCGGGTACGCCATGGGGATCCTGGTACAAGGCCCGTCGGTGGAGGGTGGCCCCGCCATGCGGGCATAGGGCCTTCATTGGGGCCTTCTTTGGGGCCACCAGACGTGTGAGGGGGCCCTAGCGTTTGGGCCTTCGCTGGGGCTCCTTAAAGGGCCACCGAACTTGTGAGGGTTGTGCCGAACTCCGGCGGTGCCGCCATGCGGACTTGGGCATTTGAGCTTTCGGTGGAGTTCCCTATGGGGCCAGTTAGCGTGTGAGGGGTGTGTCAAAATGAGCCCGCGCCGCCATGCGTACTTTGGCATTTTCGCTGTCGTTGGAGCTCCTTGCGGGACCCCGTAGCGTGTGAAGGGGGGGCCGAAATGAGGCAGTGCCGTCACGCGGACTTTGGCAATTAGGCCTCTAGTGGAACTCCTTGTGGGACCACCTAACGTGTGAGGGGTGTGCCGAAATGATGCGACGCCGTCATGCGGACTTTGGCATTTTGGCTGTCGTTGAAGCTCCCTGTGGGACCACGAAGCGTGTGAGGGGTGTGCCGAAATGAGGCGGCGCCGTCATGCGGACTTTGGCATTGGGCTGTCGTTTGAAGCCCCCTGTGGGACCACGAAGCCTGTGAGGGGTGTGCCGAATCGAGGCGGCGCCGCCATGCGGCCTTGGGCATTTGGGCTGTCGTTGGAGCTCTCCTTGGGACCACGAAGCGTGTGAGCGGTGTGCCGAAATGATGCGGCGCCGCCATGCGGCCTTGGGCATTTGGGCTGTCGTCGGACCTCTCTGTGGGACCACGAAGCCTGTGAGGGGTGTGACGAAATGATGCGGCGCCGCCATTCCGCCTTGGGCATTTTGGCCTTCGTTGGAGCTCCCTACGGGACCACGAAGCCTGTGAGGGATGTGCCGAACCGAGGCGGCGCCGTCAAGCGTACTTCGGCATTTGGGCTGTCGTTGGAGCTCCGTGTGGGACCATGCACGAAGCGTGTGAGGGGTGTGCCGAAATGAGGCGGTGCCGTCATGCGGCCTTGGGCATTTTGGCCTTCGTTGGAGCTCCCTACGGGACCACGAAGCCTGTGAGGGATGTGCCGAACCGAGGCGGCGCCGTCAAGCGTACTTCGGCATTTGGGCTGTCGTTGGAGCTCCGTGTGGGACCATGCACGAAGCGTGTGAGGGGTGTGCCGAAATGAGGCGGTGCCGTCATGCGGCCTTGGGCATTTTGGCCTTCGTTGGAGCTCCCTACGGGACCACGAAGCCTGTGAGGGGTGTGTGCTGACATGATGCGGCGCCGTCATGCGGCCTTGGCAGTTTGGCCGTCGCTGGAGCTCGTGATGATGCCACGAAGCGTGTGAGCGGTGTGCCGAAGTGGGGCAGCGTCGCGATGAAGACTTGGGCAAATGAGCCCACGCCCGAAACCGGGCGAGCAAGTGTGCGGGGAGGAGCAGTGGCCGCACCAGGCTCTCAGGGCCGGAGGCGAGATGGGCCCGGCGAGGCGCGTGGGGGGCACAGGGAGGAGGAGGAGGCGCCCGTGGCCCAGGCCGTCGGAGGCCTTGCTCTGCGCCCGCGCGGCCCGAGGCCTGCGGCCGCCCACCGGTGGCTCCAGGACGGGGGCCTGAGGGACGGGGTCCTGAGGACGGGGTGCCTCGAACGACGAAGCTTCCACCCGTGGATCCGCCCCTGCCCTTCCCACGAACTTCCAGGAGGTCCTGGAAGACAGCACCGGGATGTCGACGTCCTGGTTCCCGTCGTGGTTTGGGGCGGTCCAGAGCGGTTTACGGGTCTGGAGTGCTACGGTCAGTCGGCCTGGATCAGTAGGTCGACCCTGCCAAGTCAAGGGTGCCTTTGCGTCCTGTGTCTCGCGACCCATGCTTCCTGCATTCCTGTGGCAACGTGGCCCTCGGAGGGGTCTCGTGTCCTCTCGCGTGTCCGGTCCAATCGAGTCCGACTGTCTTGTTCAGCACTCTGAAAGGTCGGGGTCGGCCCCCGTCCCCGGACATCCCGGTGCCATCTTTCAGGACCTCCTGGAAGTTCAGCGGAAGGGCAGGGGCGGATCCAAGGGTGGATGCTCGTCGTTCGAGGCACCCCGTCCTCAGGACCCCGTCCCTCGGGACCCCGTCCCCGAGGACCCCGTCTCTGGGCCGCCGAGCCCGTGCGCGCAGCCGTTTTGGGCGCGCTGGGCCCGACTGCTCGCACGACGTGGCGGGCGCGTCGGCGGGCGGCCCGCGGCCCGCCGAGGGCGGCGGGATCCACTGCCGCGCCGCGCTCGGCGGCCGTCGAGGAACAAAAGACAGCGCAAACATTGGGCTGTTTCGGTGGCAAATCGTCGTCGTTCTCTTATTCGTTGTTCTGCCGATCGGCGCGGGCCCTCGCCCACCCCCCCCCCCCCCCCCCCCCCCCCCCCCTTGGCTATTTTGGGCGCCCGTTTCGAGCAGGCGGGGTCCCTCCGCCACAGGGCGCGCTGCTGCAAACAGCCGCACTGAGCAGAGGTCCGGAGCCAGACCCCCCTCCCCATCCCCCCCGCACCCCATTTCCGCCCGATGTCGAAACGCCGAATAAGGAAACGCTCACCATGGGAGCCGACTGTACCCTCGTGATTCCTTCTCTGCAGTGCTCTCGCATCGAGTAGCGTTGGTCATCGATGAGGTCGCGCCGATTTAGCATCGATCACCGTCGAATAAGCGTCGATTAGCGTCTGCGCGCGTCGATCAGCGTCGCTTCGCAGGAGCCAACAAGATGGTTTGGGAGGCTCCCATGGGTTGCCACCAGCCCAAGGTTTGGAACTTTCGGATAGCGTGTCGCTCCGCCGGTTCTGGCCCACCGCGCTTCAGCGCGGCACGCTATCCATTTGCCCGTCCCCAGGCGTCAACGTCCCCAGCTTTTTCTAGCCTGGCGCCCGCCGGAGCGGAGTGACACACGTGCAGGGCATTGCGTGTCGCTTCGGCCGCCGCGGCGACGCGCTAAGCAAAAGCTCCCCACCGTAACCTTCCGACGCTCCGGGCGGATTTCGTGGCTCGGCGCTGGGCCCCCCCTGGCGGCGCCTCCGGCGCCGCCCTCGGCGCGCTCCGCGCATCCGAGGAAGCCGCGCGGAGGTCCTGAGGCTTCGTGTTTACGCCATTGTGTCTTATTCTAGGCTGCGACTCGCCGACGTGGCAGCACGTGGGCCTGGCATCGCTCGGACGTGTGCATTTTTTCTCGGCGAGGGCCATCGAGGAGCATCCTTGATCATTTGGCGAAAAAGCCACGCACGACCCCCCCCCCAACAAAAAAAAACAGGGCATGGACGTCCGAGCGATGGCCAGTGGGCGGCAGGCAGCGGGAGGGGCAACGACGGAGGGGGGGGGTGCTGCTGGCCCGGCTGGGGGGGGCGTCGACCCAGAGTTGCCCTTTTGTCGCCGATCGGGTCCCGTGTGCCCCGGTGCCGTCCAGGAGCGCTCGGTCTCGCCATCGATGGGCTGTCGTCGATGTGCCGGCGATGTACTTCGAAGAACCATACACGGCTCGAAGAACATACACGGCTCGGGGGGGGGTCGACACGGCTCCAGGTTTGCGCCCGCCAGGATTGGGCCGGAGGTCGGTTTCACTAAACCACGTTTTACTGAAGGGAGGTCTGTCCATCCCCGAACGGCATGTGCATGAACTGTTGGAGCTTCCGATTCTGATTGCTTGCATGGAGTGGGGGGGGGGGGCGCGGCGAGATCCGAAAGAAAGTCAAATTATCATGCAAATCGGGGCTCGCTTGCGCGCCTGTCCTGGCCAGCGCTGCTGGGAACGGCGGCGGAAAGGGCGGGGGGCATGCCATACAAGCAACATCGCCTGAGCGTGAAGAAAAAACGCCTCCAGTGCAGTCATGATTTTTCGGAACGTCGACCCCCAGGGGATTCGGCCCGTTCCCCAGGGCCGGCTTTTCATCCTGAGTCTTTTTGGTTGACGGCCCCGAGGCTCGGTAAGGGCCACCAGAGGCCGAGGATTGGTGGGCTTGTTTCCCCCTTGCCACCATGAGTTGGAGGGGGAGGGGGTCCTCCTCCTGCTCCTCCTCCTCCTCCTCCTCCTCCTCCTCCTCCTCCTCCTCCTCCTCCTCCTTCCCCCCTCCAACTCATGGTGGTGGTGGTGGTGGAAGACAGGCCCATCAAAGACGGCCAAATACCTCCCGTCGTGTTTTCCCTCACGGCCCGAGAAGGTCTGGGAGCCCATGCTCCCCCACCCCCCCTGTCGTTCCCCCTCGAGCGGGGCGGCACGGCCGCCGGGGCGACCGGGCGTCGCGATCGGGCGGGCGGGCAGGGCTTGGACCAGGGGAGCGAAGAATTACATAAACATAACAACTCGGAGGTCCGCGCGGATTTCTCGGATTGGCACTGGACCCCCCTGGCGGCGCCACTGGCGCGCTCCGCGCGCCAGGGAGGGGGGGTTCAGCGCGGAGCCGAGATATCCGCGCGGACCTCCGAGCTGTTATGTTCATGCCATTCTTCGTCCCCCTGTGAGCAGCGCTCGTCAACTGGGGCCTCCGGGGAGGCCTTTTGGTTCGGGGTCCCCGCGGGGGCGGGCTGGCAGGGAGCGGCCCGCCCGCGGCGGTCCTCCGCGGAGGAGGGGCCTCCTCCCCTGGCCTTCCAGAGTGCTAAAAACGTAGCACTCCAGACTTACAAACCGATCTGGACGGCCTCAAACCCCGACAGGGATTAGGAAGTCGACCTCCTGGTGCTGTTTTTGGTAGCCCTCCTGGAAGGTCCGGGTCAGAGGAGGGCGAGCCGAGACAACGGTAACTAGGCAGGTGTCCTTCGAGGGGGGCAGGACCCTGCTCGCCACGGCTGGACGCAGCTCGGAAACCTGGTGCGCGTGGACCCCCGGCAGGGGTCCCGGAGGCTGCTCTTCGCACTGCCACTGTCTCGTCCTCGCCCTGCTCCGCAAAACGGGGACCCGCCCGCAGAGAGGCGGTCCCTTGATGGGGTCGGCCGGTGGTCTGAGGTGGCCCGGCACTGCCGAGAAGGCCTCGCGGCCGGTGCCGCCGACCCTGCAGGGGGACGACGACCGCGACGGCGGCGGCGTCGGCGGCAACGACGGCGCCGACGCGGGGCAGAGTCCTATGAGGGGTGCCTCGCGGGGCCTCTTCGGGAGCGCGCTCGTGGGCCTCCGACGGGGCACTTTGGGTTCGGCCCGCAGGCCAATTTACCAGTTTGAGACATATCCTTGTCCCTATGTTTGACATCACCTCACCCCGATGCCGATCTCAAGGATTCCCTCAGTTTCTGAGGGCCTGTCCCTGAGATTGCCCTCGCTTTTTGCTCGCCCATCTCAGGGATATGGGATACACCTTAGGCGATGCTTAAGAAAATTTAGATTTTCGGCCAGAGTCTCGATTATTCTTAATGGTTCAGTGTAAATCCTAAGATTTTGATAGACATGTTGGGTTTGTTTCAAGTTCTGAGACTATGAATTTCTTAACCCATGATTTCTTAAGCATTTCGCATGGTTGGGCCAGTGGGGGGGGGCCGCGTGCCTGGCGCGTCCTCCTCGGGCCTCCCCTTGGGGGCTCCTCGTCGCCGCGGCGGGGGCGCGGCTCGGGAGGAGCGGGTGTGTGTTTGGGCCCCGGGCGGGGCTGCAGAGCGAGGGAAGCCACAATTGCGTGGCCATGGCCGAGACCCAGACCCCCTCGAGTAATGAAAAAATCATGACGGGAGGTTTTTCCTACTTTTCGGCCTCTGGGGGCCCGCGCCGGGCCTCGGGAGCGTCAAAAAACGACTCAGGATGCCAAGCCGGTCATGGGGAACGGGTCGGGACCTCTGGGGGTCGACGTAATGAAAAAATCATTACGTCGGGGGTCTGGGGATGCTGCGCGATCTCGGGGACGCCGATGTTGGTCACGGTCCATGCCGGCCGTCGCCGATTCGCGAGGACCATCCACGGATTGTCGTCGACCAGGGTGGGCGCTGACCAAGATCAGTGCGACGTGTCCGCGCGCAGCGTTGGTCATGGCCACGGTCTTCTTCACCTCCGTTTGAGCGGATGTTGGCTTCATCATGCCCTGCCGATGGTTTGAGGATGTCCCAGCTCAGACCCCCCAGGCCGCCTCCAAGCCCTGGGTGGCGAGGTCTTGGCCCCCGGTGTCTAGACCTCCCAGGTGGTGTCCGAGTAGTGGGCGGGGGTCGGCGGATCGCATCCCGCACCGCCGACTCGCGGGCTGATGGGCCTGGTTTCCACCACCACGATAAGTAGGAGGGGGAGGGGGTCCTCCTCCTCCTCCTCCTCCTCTTCCTCCTCCTCCTCCTCCTCCTCCTCCTCCTTCCCCCCCCAACTCATGGTGGTGGTGGCGGAAAGCAGGCCCCTCATGGGCGGTGCGGCTCGATGTGGGGCCCAAGTTCCTCCACTCCCACGGCGCGATCCTCTGACCCCACCTGCTACAGATGCAACTCCTGGGAGGTCAAATTCTGTTTTCGCCCTGGTCCGAAATTCGGTTTAATCCAGCTAAATCCCGCTTAATCCCGCTTAATCCCGTTTAATCCAGCTTAATCCCGCTTAATCCGAGGCCCATTTCGGCGTAACAGCTCCCAAATGGGGCTTAATCCTCCTTAATCTTTCCGACGAAAACCTCCCAGCAGTTGCCTCCTAAACCTGCTACCTGGGACGCCTCCATCCAGTGTCCAGCGACGGTGAAGGAAGACGCCGGCCGCTGCGACGCCTGGTCGCACAGGGGCGGCCGGCGCACGGCAGAGACGGCGGCATGCTTGAATTATGATATACTTGCTTGCTGGGCACGCGGACGAGAATGGTGCACCTGCTCCTGCCGCCCCCCCTGCTGCGCCTCCTCCCCCCAAGCGATATGAACATGAACTTTCGTAGGTCAGCGCGTATGTGTTGGGCTCGCGTTGGACTCCCCTCGAGGTGGGGTTCAGCGCCTCCAGTCCAGCGCCGATCCAAGAAGCCCACGCTGACCTCTGACAGTTTACGCGTATGTCGCGTATTTTTCCTCGTTTGCTGACATCCCTCGCGCATGTCAACTTCCTCTCGCCCTGAAGCCCAGACGTCTCGAGGGAGAGAGGTCCCGAGCCCTGAGCCTTATCTCATCGTCGCTGAAGAAGACTCGGGATGGTAAGCTGGCCTTGGAGCAGACCCACAGGTCTATGGCCAGTTCCATCAGGACCCGTTTCCTTCATGCCAGCTTCAGGGGGCATGAATAGACACAGGGAAATGCATTGCGATTCCGAGGCGCACATTGGAAACTATAGGAAGCGGAGGGGAAGACAGAAGTCCAGAATATATATATATATATATATATATATATATATATATCGAATTATTGGGAACTGTGGGATTCGTATCTATGTGTTTGTGTCTCCCCAGGCCTCTTTTCAGCTCCTCCCTCCAGCGAGATCAACCCTTCTTCCCATGTCGTCTGCTCGAGCCCGACGCCTCCTGACAATTACGCTTCTTGTGTGGTCTCGGTGCGGTGTTTGATACTGCCGAGTTCTTCTCACCACATCGGCCACCCCTCCTTGGAGATGCTGTGCCCATGCTCCGGAGGCCGCCAGAGGGGTCCGTTGGACAAGGCCGGTTTCGCTAGGCCGGAAGCCACCCCCCAGCCTGGCCTGTGGCTCTGGGCCTCCTATGGATGGGGTCCGAGCGGACGGGCTCGGGGGCTCGCGCCGCATCGCCTATGCATCGGCGATGCGGCTCGCTGTGGAGCCAGAGGTTCTCCACGCCGACGTCGCTGGTGCATCGCCGACGTTGCTCGTTGCCGATGCATCGCCGATGCATCGCCGATGCCTCGGCGATGCGGTGCGATCCTCCCGACCACATCTGCTCCCGCCTCGCTCAGAGGGCCGCTACCGTGGCCCCACGGCTCGACCCGAGGCCCCCCCTTGCAGCCGTGGAAATCACCGCTCTCGGGCCAGGTCTTCTCGGCGTTCCCGGAGGTTGCTGGCGCTCGGGCTCGAGATGCACGAGCTCTGCGGTTTGGCCAGTCTGGGGTCAGTGAGATGCCCAGGCGCTGACCAGTGGCAGTACCTTCTTCGGCCCCTCATCATGGAGAAAGCAAGCTCGAAGCTCAACGGACTCCTTTGTAGGACTTGCATAAAGCAGTAGGGGGAGTTCTCTCATCCCTCGACATCACCTATCCTCACGGGGCCAACAGCGCGACGCGGGCCCAGCTCCTACGCGCACTGGACGGCTGGAGAGATTGGCACGTTTGACAGACGGCGTGATCGAAAAGGCTGGCCGCAGCTGCACATGAGGAACGCACTAAATGGTGGTATCCAGCGGGGACGACAATGCCACTGCCGTGTGCAAGGGAGCGGACAAAAAATGTGAGACCCATGCAAGTTGTTTCCTGCAAGCGAGTCCAGCTGCTTGTGGGTGCCAGGCGTGGTCCTGGGCTGATTAGCTGAATTTCAAGTCCATCGGTTCTGCATTATGCATTTTGAATTGCCCTGACCCTTCCGACGACAGGAGCCACAACATTGTCAGACGCCGTTGAACTCCATGTGCTGGACACAGCTCCAGTGGTTCCATGTGTTGTGGGTGTGTTGTGGCCGCAGCAGTACAGGAAAGTCATGTGGGCCACCGCGCCTTCGTCAGTAGGCCCTCCGGTGCACACCCACGACAGGTGACTTCGCGCAATGCGTTCAAGGTTGCGCCGATCCCTCGTCTCGTCGCCCTGGACTTAGGTCGGGGAATCTGCTGGTGACCGAGACTCGCCGTGGCCAGGGAAGCCATTTCGTTCCTGACCTGTGATTTTGATGAGCGCACCATGGCTGCACAGCTGGCTCGCTGGTTGAGAACAGCACCAGCTTTGGATGGGCATCCTCATAGTGGAAGCCCAAGCCAAGAATCACCCTGCTTTCCTCCAGGGTGCCCTGGGTGCCTTGGGTTTCGATGGTTTTGCTGTGGAATGCGTAACGTTCCCGCACCAAAAATCAAAGGACGTCCTGGGTTCTCAGGGTTGGGTATCTTGTGGATGGTTCCTTGTGATCGAGCTCCTACTGTACGATCTTCGTGCTTGAGCTCTCCACTCCAGAACGTCCCTCGCTCGGGGTATCTCCACAGGGCTTCCCGCCGTCGACGTGGGGGCCGACGCTCTTCGAGTAGGTGATCCACTACAGAATTCATTTTACCCCAGAATTGGTTTCTTGGTGAATCCATGAAGGTGCTACGTTTTTTGTGCTCTCTCCTTTTACGCACATACATACATATATCCGACGAGGACATTCATTTCGGGTGAGTCAATGTCGTAGTCGATCCCCTACTCGAGCTCTTAATTACGCACGTGTGGACTTGTTTCGGCCGTGATAGCCTGTTGGCCTTCGGCCTCTCTGGGCCCTCTTCGCCCGTTTTGGGGCGCCCGCGGGCCTGAGGAGGTCGCGCGGGAAGCCGCCCCGGGCTTGCTTGGAAGCCCCAGGAGATTGGAGGAATCGGGGCCCGGGGCCTTTCAAATGACGAACGAACAACACACACCCATACCCATAGGGAGGTCGTTGGGAGGAGGACTGGCTATGGGTATGGGTGTGTGTGTTGCTGGTTCGTCATTCAAGTGTCGCCAGCATAGAAGACTGAGGCTCAGGGGATCGAGCAAGGGATTCGAGGACACTCCAACTCGTGCCTCGCAGGCGCGGCGGCTGACCGTGATCCTAGACGTCATGAACAAGAGATGTTGGGCGGTGTTCCCCGATGTTGAGATCGATGTGTCTTTCCGTCCTGGTCGCTGCTTCGCATATGTTGTGCATGTTCTCGAGTCGCCGTTCTTTTTCAGTGTGGAACTAATGTTTACAGTAGCTTTCGGCGTCAATTTTCGCCGCTCGTCGTCGTTTCGTTTCTTCCATCGCCGGCAGCATCCAGGGATATCGGTAAAGCAACAGAGGAAGCCCGCAGCGCTGTTGAGAACAACTCGCACACTGGGCTCCCTGGCTTCCCACCCGAGCGCGAAGCCACTGTCAGTCGTAGCCGCTCGCCGCCGTCAGGTCCAGCCTCCCGCGCGCCGCGCGCGCGCGCGCCCCCCGCGAAGTTGTCCGCACCGCTCTCCACGAGCCTCGACGCGTCGCAGAGGACGATCATGCCGGAGGACCGCCGCGTGGCTCGTCGGAGGAGTTTCCAGGCAGATTTTGGCATGCTTACTTGCACGGAAGGGTGTGAGGATGGGGGGGTGGGCGGGCGTGGCGAGGCCCGGGAGGACACCAGACCGTCACGCATGTCGGGACTCGCTTGCACGGCTTTTCGGCCCAGGGTTGTTTGAACGGCGGCGGAGGGGAGAGGGGGGGGAACCTGTCATGTGCTGCAACCTTGCTTGAGCCTAAAGAAAAACAGCCTTGGGTGCTCCGTGCCCGCTCTTGCTTGCGCGGCGGTGGCTGGCGCAACGCCAGGGCGCGTGCGGCGCCGTGCCCTAACGGCCGCTAACTGGCTGCGTGGGCCCTCGCCCAGTGTCTCGCGAAACGGTTCGTCGTGGCCTGGCCCGCGCGCTGAGGGATCGCGACGTCGGCGCCCGCTCCGTCGGAAAGGGGGCGCTGGTGGCGGGTGTCCAAGGGGCTGACAGATGATGCCATCCTGGCGCACGGCTGATGGGCTTCGGCTGATGCCACGCAGTCCTTTTACTCCCGCTTCGCTGATAGGAAAGGAGGAAACTCTTGCTCGACGCAGCGGCCGCCAGCGACGCACCCCCTGGCGCGGTCTCGCTCAGGTCAGCGGCTGCCGAGCCGCCCCCGAATTGACCGCGGTCGGGCTCGCCCGTGGAGCGTCGCGCGTGGCAGCGGCGGATGTGAGAGAAGCTGGGCTTCGTAGTGGGCGCCGCCGGCTGCCCTCTGGCAGCGTTGCCGCCCACAGGCAGCGCAGCGCAGCATATTGGCTGCACTCGGCACGGCCTGCGGCGCGAACGCGCTACCTTCGAGGCGCTGCTGTTCCGCGCGGCCCGTGACAATCATCATCCCGATCAGCGCCTCCCCCTCCCTTGCCGCCGCTGGCCTGGGCGGTGGCCCCACGCCGACGCTTCGCGTGGTCCGCCGCCCTCGCCCCCGGCGCCCCATCCTCGTCGTTGGGTTTCGCGCTGGAGCCTGGCCCCCTCTAGGGCATGATGCCCAATCGGGCCGGCCCCCGGCTTCGGGCCGCCGTTCCGCATCATCCGTGTTTCGCCCGTGGGGCTGTTCTGGGAAAGAGATCCTGTGGAAGGGGGCTGTGCATTCGTAAAGGGCGCTTTTCCTGGCAACCTTCGTCCCGACCGCAGACTCCGTGGAGTCCTTCCACTGCATGGCGCAGGCGTGGCGATGCGCCGAGTGCCTTGCAGCCCCGCCCCGCCTGTCCCTTCTCTTGGCGGTGCCGCAATCCACCCTCCTTCGGGGGGGGGGGCCGGCTGCCCTCTGGCAGCGCTGCTGCCCACTGGGCAGCGCAGTGCAGCATGCTAGCTGCACTCGGCGCCGCCTGCGGAGCACACGCGCTCCCTTTGAAGGCACTGCTGCGATGCGGCCCGTGAAAACCATCATTCCGATCTGCGCCTGCCCCTCCCTAGCTGCACGCCCGCCGCTGGCCCGGACGGGCGGCTGGACGGGGGCCCCCCGTCGACGCTTCGCGTGGTCAGCCCCCTCGCACTCGGCGTCCTATCCTCGTCGTTGGGATTTTCGTGGAGTTCGGCTCGATGAGCCTTGCCCGGCCGCCTGGCCCCCTCCGGGGCACGAGGCGCACGGGTCCCCCGCGGTTCGCCGGCTTGTCGGCCGTTGTTCCGCATTTGGTTCGCCCGGGGGCTGTTCTGGGAAAGAGGAATATGAGGAGGAGGAGGGGGAGAGGAGGA